TTCACAGAAGTCTATTGAACATTGTATGGCTTATCTCATAGTTTCATTGTTGTTTTTCCCGTCACTTTCCCTTATCGGTGATGAATGTGGTCACCAATCAGAGAGCATGTCTGCTAGTGTATTCCCATTGAGTTTTAGTCTTGGAAGGGGGTTTGCCCTGAGGGGACCCGACCTCTTGCCTTGATGTCTCCTGGGCGAGCAACTTTTTTGTTCTTGTAGTAATCAGTCAGACTGCTGTTATTATTTTGTATTTTTCCTGTCAGTCTTTCTTTCAAGAAGTATCTTCTGTTCTTCTAGCCGCTCCAGGCTGGTCGGCTTATCCTTTCAAGTGGAAATTTCCCACCTCAGAAGATTCTGGATGGGGTTCAGGATTCCACCTTCACTGGGCACCTTGTAGCCCCATTTTAGGTATTCCTATCAATTATAGGCAAAAGACAGATTTACAAGCTTTCTATGATGACATTTCTGGCTATTCCTTTCTCTCCCCCTAAAGTGTCTATTTTATAATGGTATACCAGGGAAACCAAGATTCAAAAGACAGCCAAGCATCTTAAACATTATTTACCCCCTTTTGCCCATTCCAACCATGTCTCAATTCCTATATCTCAGAGCCTTGTTGTTCCAAGGTTGTGCATACATCATTATTTACCTCTGTCCCACTTAGCCCATGCAAACCTGCCTAATTGTTTTCCTATCTGCCTTGTTTATCCATTTCCCTCCCCCTTCTTGTGTATTGCTCCCCTCCCAGCACCAAAACTATCCTGTGTCTATTCCCTACCCTGTGCTCTACCTTCCCCTCCCTCACCTCACCCCCCCGCCCCAATCCTGGTAACCAGCAAAGAATCCCCCCCACCTTTAGTATGGGTTCTTTTTCTTAGTCTTTTACAGTAGTGGTCCTATGCAGTATTTCTCCCTTTGTGACTGACTAATTTCACTCAACATAATGGCCTCAAGGTTCATCCATGTTATGTGGTGGCTTGCAGCTTTCTTGTTATTCTTCAAGGTAGCATAATATTCCATTGTGTGTATGTGCCACAGTTTGTTTATCCATTCTTCCGTTGATGGGTACTTAGGCTGTCTCCATCTTTTTGCTATTGTATATAGTGCTGCTATGAATATTGGTGTGCATATATCTACTCATGTTATGGCTCGTATTTCTTTTGGGTAAATACCAAGTTGAGGAATTGCTGGGTCTTAAGGTATTTCTATTTCCAACCTTCTGAGGAAGCCATATTGCTTTTTAGAGAGGTTGGACCATTTTGCAGTCCTACTAGCAATGCAGGAGCATCTCAGTCTCTCCACATCCCTGCCAGCATTTATTGTCCTCTGCTTTTTTGATCTTTGCTGTTATTGCTGGTGTGAGATGGTATCTCATTGTTGTTTTGATTTGCATCTTAATGCGCCAGACTGCAAAGCCATTTGAACTGCAAGGTCAGCAGTTCAAGCTCACCAACTGCTCCTCGGAAACCCTATAAGGGTTGGTAGGGGTCGGAACCGACTCGATGGCATTTAACAACAACAATGGCTAGTGATTGTGAACATTTCTTCCTATGTTTGTTGGCTGCCTGGATCTCCTCCTTGGTGAAGTGTCTGTTTATGTCCTGTGCCCATTTTTTAATTGGGTTATTTGTCTTTTTCTTGTAGAGGTGTTGTAGTTTCCTATATATTTTAGAAATGAGTCCCTTGTCTGATGTATCGGTGCAAAAGATTTTTTTCCCATTCTGTGGGTTTCCTTTTTACTCTTCTGATGAAGTCTTTTGATACACATAAGTTTTTCATTTTTAGTATGTTCCAATCATCTATTTTGTCTACTTTTGTTTGTGTAGTTTTCAAAATGTTTGCTAGTCTGTGTATTTCCTGTATTAGAGCCCTCACATTTGTCCCTATTTTTTCATTGATGGCCTTCATAATTTTGGGATTCACATTTAGGTCTTTAATCCATGCTGAGTTGGTTTTTGTATAAGGCGTGAGGTGAAGGTCTTGTTTCAATCTTTTATATCGCTTTCCAGTTTGCCAGCACCATCTGTTGAAGAGACTATCACCTTCCCATGTGATATATTTAGGTACTTTGTCAAAAATCAGTATGTGGATGGGTTAATTTCTGGATTCTCGATTCTGTTCCATTGATCAGTGTATCTTTCATTGTACCAGTACCAGGCTGTTTTGACCACTGTAACTGTGTAATACGTTTTGAAGTTGGGGATTGAGAGGTTTCCAACCTTATTCTTCTTCTTAAGCAGTGCTTTGCTTGTCCTGGGTTTCTTTCCTTTCCATTGTAAAGTTTGTAATTGTTTTTTCCATCTCTTTGAAGAAAGTATTTGGAATCTGGATTGGGATTGCATTATATGTGTAAATTGCTTTGGGCAGTATTGACATTTTCACACTGTTAAGTCTTCCTATCCAGGAGCATGGTACATTCTTCCATTTTTATTGGTCTCTTTTGGTTTCTTGTAGTAGTGTTTTGTAGTTTTCTTTGTATAGGTCCTTTGTTTCTCTGGTTACATTTATTCCTAGATATTCCATCCTTTGGGTGGCTATTGTAAATGGTATTGCTTTCCTAATGTCCTTTTCAGTGCTGTCGTTTTTTGGTATAGAGGAATCGAAAGAGGTATTTTTGCTGGTGTCTCTCCTCTGCTAAAGGCTATTCATCTTGAAATTGGAGGGTGGGTGCAATTTAGATATTGCCCCTTTGCATCCAATTTGGAGAGGTGGGAGATGCAACTTAGAAATTGCCAGTGGGCATTGAAATTGGGAAGGGGCTACAATTTCGAGATTGTTTTGGGGTGCCTGTTACCCTCTCTGCTCCCTTGTGAAGCAGCTGTATTCTGTCCTACAAGGTCTCTGTGAGTGGAAATTGCTTCTGAGGCCACGGGTTTGGAATGGGTTAGTATTTATCTTCTGTGTTGTTGAGAAGATTCCGAGAGATGATGCTTCTCGAGTGCTCAGCACCCATCCCAGAAAATAGTATAAATGCTCAGTAAAAGGTATTATGGTTTTGATGGTTTTAAACACGGGATTGACTTAAAGAATAAGGAGCCCTGGTAGCACAATGGTTAAACATTTGTCTCTGAAACAAAAGGTGGACAGTTCCAGCCCACCAGCTGCTCTGCAGTAGGGAATACTGAGTGATCTGTAAGAGTTCTGCTGTTGTTATTGTTGCTGTTGGTAAGTGCTGTCAAAGTCTGACCCTGTAGAGGGTTCCCAAGGATGCTCATCTTTGTAATTTGTATAGATTATGCCCTGGATACTTTCACTTGTACATTTCAGTGACATTAACTCTGTTTATCATTTTGCTCAACCATCACCCGCATCTACTTTCATCACTCTAAGTACTGTCACACCACTGTAAGCAATGAGCCAACCTTTTCCCCCCCTCCCATGTGCCCCTGGGAACTCTAAATCACTAGTAAATTTTGATCTCTATACATGTTTCTCTTTTACTTATTTCATATAAGTGAGATCATCTACTATAATGGCATGTTTCATTCAGTCTGTTATTTTCCGGATTCATCCATGTTGTATAGCATCTATCAGAATTTCATGTCTATGACTCTAAGTTGGTTTTGAGAAAACTTTGAAAGGTAATCGTGAAACATGTTCTTTGAATGCTTGAGCAACAGCTAGTATTGTTGTATGTGTGGGTGTGTTTATAATAATAATGGTATTAGGCAACATTTATAAAGTGACATACTGTATAGTTGACTGTCCTGCTTTGTTCCGGGCTGAGAGGGTTCCCAGGATGTAGTCTTTTCTGTGCTAAAATCCAGGAAGTCCTCAACAAACCAGACTGGGTTGGCTAGCCTTCTACCATGTACACATTGCTTTAGAAACATCTCATAAAATCTTCAAATCAGTCTTGTGAGGTTGGCACTAACATATTGCCATTTTACAGAGAAAGCAAATACTTAGAGAAGCAACTCGCTGAAGCCACTCAGCTAATTCACAGGAAGAGCAAGATCTGCCCAACTCTAGAAGCAAAGAATCTGGTCATCATGCTAAATGCATTTAAACCTCTCCAAAGAGGCAAAGACGATGACGATGACGTGGAGAGATGGAGTGGCTGGGAACTCTAGACCCAGAGAGGGAGAGGGGCTGTGTGCTGATGACTGGGAGGGTGGTGGGAGGTGGGGGACAGGCTTGCAGGTTATACCCTTTGGTTGGTTGATGATGCATGGAGGGGATTGTAACCGTGACAATGAAAAGATCTACGATAGGATTAGTGTAAAGCTAATGGTCTCCCATGTAAACAATCACATAAATCACAATAAAACAAAAAACAAAAACAAAAAAAAAGGCAAACAAACTTCTCCAAAGACATTGGTGCCTGTTGTCACTAATGTCTCCATCATTACTAAACATCCTCCCGTTGTCCCCTTTGCACCAACACTTCCTGCTGCCGATTTGGTCCCCAACCAAGGGAAAGACCCAGGCGTGCAGCCAGGTCAAGCCCAGTCTTGTATCTGGGCAGGCCAGTGGCCCCTCCTTCTCTTAGCAACAGACGCTGAAACCTAGTTACTGGCCCCAAGTCTGGTAGAAAACAGCCCAGGAAGGAGAAAGGGGAAAAGTGGAGACCACAGGGGGCTTGTTTAGTGGGGTGTTTGCTCTGTCTTCGGTCAGAATTAATATGTAACTCAGCCTCCATTTTCACTCTGCAGTGAACTCTGTATGCTCCTGGGACAGTTCCAAGAGAGGAGTCACTTAGTGGAAAGGGGGGTGACTGTCACAGCAAGAATACCCAGCAGGACCCCAATGCTGCCGCTTGGCTCTCTAGTTTCCCTTTCTCTCCTCTTCTGCCAGGGAACTCCTCAGGAGGCTGAATGAAGTCTATGACCTCAGAGGTGGCCCTGTGACAGGGCTTTCAGAACACCACAGAAAGTTCTATTTTCTAGGTCATCCCTTTATGCTATAAAGAAGGGTGGGGTTCAGAGCCCTTGGTTAGAGAGGAGCACCCCTCAAGAAATTGAGTGTTCCTTATTCAATTTTAAATAGGCACAATTAAAATGAAGACCATGAATGACCTGGAATGTTCAGCTCAGAGGGTAAGTGTAACTTCTCAGAGGGAAAGTATAACTTTTAATACATGCTTCTTTCTTCTTTTTTAAACATATTTTTTATCACGTAAAAGATTTGGGAGTGGGTGGTGAAGGGAAAATGCTTCTTTCATAGGTCAATTGCCTTGCTGCTGTTGTTATTAAGGGCCAGCTAGTCAGCTCTGACTCATAGTGACCCTGTATAGGGTTTCCGAGGAGTGGCTGGTGCATTTGAACTGCTGACTTTGTGGCTAATAGTCCAATGCTTATCCCAGTCCCACACCAGGATTCTGGTTGCCTTATTAGTCTCTTAACTAAACAAGTATATTTATAACATTTTTTATGTTAAGACCTTTGAATGGGAGTTCCGGTGTGGCACTGTGGGATAAAGCACTGTACCACAAGGTCAGTTTGAACCATAAGGTGGAAGGTTCAAATTCAGCAGCTACTCCTTGGAAACCCTATACAGGGTAGCTGTGGGCTGGAACCAACTCATCAGCACTTAACAACAACAGCAATGAAAAGAAAGCCTTCTTTCTCAACAGCTCTAGTAGTCATGTCAGGAAAGACTCTGAGCAGCCTGGTTTAGGTCACATGCCTCTCCCTGAACCAATCTGGGAAGAGGGAATATTCAAACTAGTCAAGTCTGTGGTACCTGCCCTGTCCTGGAGCTGAGGTCTGGGGTCAGCCCCGTTTTACAACTTGTCCACTGCTTTTGGTGGAATGAGTTACTTCCCAATTGGTTTCAGGGCTGAAATCAGGTTTACCTTACACAGAACAGAGTCATGAATGCCAAGACACTTCCAGAACAATGTTAAGAAACACCTTGGCTGCAAAAGGTTGGGAGTTTTTGGCGTAACTAATTACTCCCAAGGAGCTCTGGTAATGTAGTGGTTACGAATGGGGCTGCTAACCTCAAGGTCAGCAGTTCGAAACTACCAGTTGCTCCGAGGGAGAAAGATGAGGCTTTCTGCTTCCGTAAAGATTTATAGCCTCAGAAACCCTGTACAGGGTCCTTATGAGTCAGAACTGACTCCATGACACATAACTACCACCAATTGTTCCCACTCTTTTTGTAACTTACTCAAGATGTGTGGATTTTGTGGAGTTTGCTGACTGTTCTTTCAATGAGGATTTTTTGTTTGAAATTGATTTAAAAGCTAGGCCAAGGGAAAGGTTCCTTCTCACCACAAATCCTTTTTGTTGCAAAGACAAAGTTCGGACAGCTCTTACTTGCCAGTTTATGTCTTACATGTGGAATCCTGAAATATGAGAGAGACTTCATATTCGTGAAAGTCCCGCTGCCAAAATCTCCCTCAGATGGTATGGTGTATGATTAAGACGATCGGGGTCTTTTCAGGCAGATGCTGGATTTTTCTATTTGGTTAACCTCATCATGTAATTTCATTGTAATTTCAGTAGAGAAAGAAGGGTTTCTTCCTTGGAAGCCATCAGTTCTCAGATCCCTGAAATTGAGGTCAGTAGCAAAAAGACAGGATGCAGTGATTTAAATCAACAGTGCAAATTCTTTAACTTGAAATCAATAGGATCTTCATGTTTGAGGTGGGGTCCAAGCATTCCCGCTTTTAACAAAATTCCATTGTTGAGTCCAATGCACCATGAGTTTTGAGAACCAGGGAATAAATTAGGCCATTCCGTGTTTGTAAAGGTCTCCGGCTTCGTATGTATCTTTGTTTATGGGGTTGGATGGTTACATTAATCTAAAAGGTCAATAACTTTCTAAAAGGAACCCTGGTGACATAACCGTTACAATGCTCAGCTGCTAACCAAAAAGTCAGCAGTTCAAAACCACCAGTTTGTGGAAGAAAACACCTAGTGATTTGGGAGAAAAGAGTACAGCCTAGGAAATCCTATGGGACATTCTCTCTTCTCATAGACTCATACAGGGTCTCTGTGAGTCCGAATCGACTTAACAAATAACCACCGCCACCTTCCTAAAGTCAGTTGCCAGGTAAGTCATACTAGTGTGCCGTGGAGTCGGGTTTGACTCACAGTGACCCTGTACAGGGTTTCTGAGATGATGAATCTTTATGGGAGCAGGAAGCCTCATCTTTCTCCCGTGGAACTGTTGGTAGTTTCAAACTGCTGACCGTGAGATTAGCAGCCTGACTCGTAACCACTGTGTTACCAGAGCCCTGGGTGCAGAGTAGCATACATTTAAAAGCACTGACTTAGAAGGCAAGCTTCTGCCCTGTCTGTCTGGGATGTAATACCTGTCCTCTCTGAGCCTTAGTTTCTTTCGCTAGAATATGGGTATAAAAACCCTTGTAAGGTTGTACAATGCCCGGCCCATAATGCTTTGGAACAATGGTCCATGTTGTTGTGGTTTTATTGTTATTATTTAACGAGTAGGTGCTCCAGGGGAGATGATGAAGGTTCATATGAGTCAGCAGTGAGCGAGGGGTTGACTGAAGGCAGGGGTGGCTGATAACTGACTCATAAACCTCCTTCATTATCCTCTCTGACAGAATTAGCCTAACCAAGTAAATAAAACTCATACTCTGATTTCTCATTTTACACTGGAGCTAAGTCCAATGTCATTGCCTTAAAGTGACAATTCCAGAGTGCCAACATGCCCCTTGAAAACCCCTCAAACCATCTTTAATGTGTTGTTCAGCAACACCTCTCGATAAGCCCAGCCCCAGGAGTTCTGTCCAGTGATGGAAGAAATTGTAATTTCTCCATCCCAGCTCCAGGTGAAATAGTTGTCTTGTATATAAGGACTGGGTCATAAGGCAGAAATACACATGGTATAGTTCAACAAACATGATTATCACTTTAAGTTCTGCAAGTTGCTCATTCCAGGGAAGACACTGCGGGTAGAGTTACCAAAACAGTGTGGCCACCTGAGGGTCGCTTCCCAGTCAACCTTCACTGTTCACAGGAAGCACAGAGAGAGTTGCTTGTAGGTTCACTACATATAAAATGCAGTACCATTGCAGGAGCAAACTTTTATTTGGAACTTTGCATATATGAAGAGCCTTCCTTTTTTTTTTTTTTTTTTAAAGTCAACCCCTTTAATCATAACCCAGGGTGGGATAATTGGGCATCTGGGCGTCCTCCTCAGAATCTAGGGGAAGAAACAACCTTCAGCTTTACTCACAGGGGAGAAGTCAAGGGGGAGACATTGGAGGAGAGAGAGATTAGTGGTTCATTATATGGAGTCCTGGTGTGGCGCTGGGGGCTAATGTATCAGACTGCAAAGTCGTTTGAACTGCAAGGTCGGTGGTTCAAGCTCACCTTGGAAGCTGCTCCTTGGAAACCCTATACAGGGTAGCTATGGGTCGGAACCGATTCAACGGCACTTCTCAACAACATATATGTATGTATGTATATATGTATGTATGTATGTATATATATGTGTATGTATGTATGAGGCATATATATATATATGCCAAGGAAAGATTCCTACTGACTACAAATCCTTTTTGTTGCAAAGACAAACTTCAAACTTCAGACAGCTCGTACTTGCCAGTGTATATATAGACATTGGAGGAGAAAGAGATTAGTGGTTAATTTTATATATATATACAGAATGTGTAAGGAAGGTGTTTGGTTGGCAGAACTGTTTCTGAAGTCTTGTTTGGTGTTTGGGAGCTCTTTGCTCCTCATATATTCCCAGAGGCGTGGAAGGCTTCCCTGATTCCTGAAGAGTAACTTTCACCCCATCTCTCACAGACCACCCGAGATGCCTCCATACATCACATGAGCCATCCTCAGAATCGGCCCGAGCTGCCCCCTCTGCCTACTTCCATCAATGAGGAGCCGTCTGAAATCTATCAGGTATGTTTACAGGGTGACCTGACCACCCTTCTGCTGAGGATGACAAGATACACAACACTGCCCTGCCCCTCTAGGTATCCGAGGTAATGGTGGAGAAAGCCATCAGCCTTGACAAGTGCAATTAGGGACTTTGGGGATCTCTGCCACTGGTAGAGGCTCCAGAATAGGGGAGACAGAGCCACACAGGTGAGTTAGAAGCTGACCTTCCCCATGTACCTGGTGCATTACTTAATGCACCCTTTGCTATATAATGGTTGAGATTTCTTTCTGTCTTTGCAATCATTTCAGCAAGTAACTCGTATATTTATTCAAGAGTAAAACTTGATTTCCTCTTCTAAGGGAGAAAACCGAATAGAAAGCTATGTAGAATACAGTTCTAGTCAGGCATACATGGGGTCACCCTGGGTTGTCATCAACTCACTGACAATGGTTTTTCACATACCAGGACCTTTTCTGTGTACTTGTATTTTTAATATCTTTTGTATCATGTGAGGGTAATTGTATATGCCTTATGGGCTTCTGGTGTGGCGCTGTAGGATCAGTACTGGACTGGTAACCACAAGGTTGGCAGTTCAAACCCAAACCCAAACCCAAAGCTTCTCCTTGGAAACCCTGTACAGGGTTGCTGTGAGTCAGAACTGAGTCTTAGGCACTCAGTAACAACAACAACAGAACTACCTTGAAGCCATTTCTGTAAGGAACAGAGTCCCTGGGTGGTGTGAACAGTTAACACTTAGCTGTTAACTGACAGGTTGGAGGTTCAAGTCCACCCAGAGGTGCATTGAGTGAAAACCTGGTTCTAAAAAATTAGCCATTGAAAACCATACAGAACACAGTTCTTCTCTGACATGGGGTCATCATGAGTTGGAATTGACTTTAATAACAACTGCTTTTTTCCTGATAAGGAATAAATGCAATAGATGTAGATGATCTAACTCATGAATTTACTGTGTATTGAGTGCCAACTCTTATCCTTGTCATTAGAAATCATGCTCCTAGCAGTCAGGAAGTACAGCGGGGATCCATTAAGAACCTGTTTTCGTGGGCAGTGAGGTGAAATGAGCAGAAGGTAGAAGCCTCATCAGGCATATGGGGCTCCGGGAGTGTGACTGTGAGGCCAAGCCCCTCAAGAGGAGCCTCAGCATGTCTCCTCTTCACTTCTTTCCTTATAGACGGTCATGTCACATAGCTTTTACCCCCCCTTGATGCAACGTACCTCATGGACTCTGGCTGCCCCCTTCAAAGAGCAGCATCACCACCGTGGTCCCAGCGACTCCATTGCCAACAACTATTCCTTGATGGCCCAGGACCTGAAGCTGAAGAACCTGCTAAAAATCTACCAGCCGATTACCATCAGCGTCCCCAGGGAAAAGAGCTTTCAAAGGCTGTCACAAGGTATTTGAAAGCAGAGTGAGGTCTCTAATTCTGGTCTTTAATTCACGTAGCTAACTTTGAATAGACTCCTCATCTGTGAAATGGGAATGATTATAATGACTAACATGTATGGAACATTGATCACATACTGGCATCCCTGGGGGTCAGGGGGCACAAACAGTTAAATACTCAACTGCTAGTGGGAAGGTTGGCAGTTTGAGTCCACAGAGGTACTTCTGAAGAAAGGCCTGGTGAGCTACGAAGAAAAGTCAGTCATTGAAAACCCCACAGACTAAAGAGGCCCAGTCATGTCTCCCCAACAGAAAGATGTGGAAATTAACCATTACATTTACAACAGGAATGCAATGGACTGTAACCCCGTGGCTATATAATGGTTTAGATTTCTCTCTGTCTTTGCAATAGCTGTAGCAGATAGCCTGTGCTTGATCGCCCTCTGGTGTAATGTTTCTTCAAGAGTCAAACTTGGTTTCCTCACCTAAGGAAGAAAATGGACAAGAAAGCCATGTGTATAGAGCACCACACATGAAGTCAGCATGAGTGGTGATCAACTCACTGGCAATGGCTAACTGGTTTATCCTATACCAGGACCTTTTCTGTGAACTTGTATTTTCTATTGCTGCATAACAAATTATCCCAAAATTTATGATCTCACAGTTTTTGTGGGTAAGCATGTGACCCACAGGCATGGCTTAGACATGAGGTTCTGGTGTAGCATCTCCCAGTTACGGTGTTGGTCATTTGAAGACTACACTGGGCAGCATCCTGGGGCCTGGCAGCGTCTGAAACTTTTGTGTACCCTCCCAGGTCCGTCTGTGCTTGCCTGTGTCCCTTCCCTCTCAGCATCCGCTGGCTCTCCGGTTTGATTCCCTGCCTTTCACTGCCCTCTGGCGCCCCCTCTCATCTCGTTGCCCGCTCCTGGCTTTCCATCCAGGGTGCAGGCCTCCATGGGTGGTGCTTCTTGGGACTCCGGCTCCGGCTCCGGCTCCATGCCCGCCCAGCCCGTGGCTTTTGGAATGGCCTCTCTTCCCAGGGCTGGTGAGAGCGCATGTTGTGTCGCCTCTGGCTAGCCCGGCTTGGCCTCCGCTGCCATCCCAGGGTTCCCGGTGGGAGACACCATGACCCTATTTCTCGTTCCCACACCTACCTCAGGTTGGCCCCGAGAGAAACTCACCACATAGGTTCTCCTCACCATGATCTGGCAGATGGGTGCCAATGGAGCTTGCATGTGGGCTGTGTTCTACCTCTGAGCTCTCTCCAATGGCCAGCACACCTGGCGGAATCTAAGGATGTGCTTTGGACTCCTTGGGTGGCGCTGTAGGACCAGCACAGACTGCGAACCACAAGGTCAGCAGTTCAAACCCACCAACTGCTCCTTGGAAACCCTATACAGGGTCACTATGAGTCAAAACTGACTCGCCACACTTAACAACAACAGTATGATTAATATTACAAGACAATCAAGTTTTACAGAATATAATTCAGAAACGGTTGCAGCAGTACATTGACAGGGAACTGCCAGAAATTCAAGTCAGAAACACAAGTGCACTTAGAAGGAGGGATATCATTGCTGATGTCAGATAAGTCTTGGCTGAAAGTAGAAATGCCAGAAGGATGTTTACTTGGGAGGACGACTCATTAACAACCTGCAATGTTCAGATGATACAACCTTACTTGCTGAAAGTGAAGAGGACTTAAAATACTTACTGATGAAGATCAAAGCGCACAGCCTTCGGTATGGATTGCATATCAATGTAAAGAAAATAAAAATCTTCACCATTAGACCAATAAACAACATTCTTATCAATGGAGAAAAGATAGAAGTTGTCAAGGACTTCATTTTTCTTGGATCAACTATCAACATTCATGGAAGCAGCAGTCAAGAAATCAAATGATGTACTGCATTAGGCAAATCTGCTGCACAAGACCTTTTTAAAGTGTTGAAGAGCAAAGATGTCAGCTTGAGGACTAAGGTGCACCTGACCCAAGCCATGGTATTTTCAATAACCTCACATGCATGTGAAAGCTGGACAGTGAATAAGGAAGACTATAGAAGAATTGATGCTTTTGAGTTATGGTGTTAGAGGGGAATATTGAAAGTACCATGGGCTTCCAAAAGAACCAACAGATTTGTGTTGGAAGAAGTGCAGCCAGAGTGCTCCTTGGAGGCCAGGATGGCCAAACTTCATCTCTCCTACTTTGAACATATTGTCAGGAGTGACCAGTCACTGGAAAGGTATATCAAGTTTGGTAAGGTGGAGGGTCAGAGAAAAAGAGGAAGACCCCCAGCGAGATGGATTGGCCAAGTGGCAACATCAGTGGGCTCAAGTATGGCAACAATTGTGAGGTTAGCCCAGGACCGGGCAGTGTTTCGTTCTGTTGTGGATAAGGTAGCTATGAGTTGGTACTGACTTGATTGCACCTAACAAGAGCAATTATAATACAGTGTAGAATGAGAATTCCAGAACACCTAAGTGTGCCTATGCTGAATCTGTACATAGACCAGAAGGCAGTCCTTTGAGCAGAATAAGAGTATAATTGGGTGGTTTCAAATCAGGAAAGATGTGGGTTAGGGTTGCATCCATTCACAATACTTACACAGTCAGTGCACTCAACAGATAATCTGAGAAGCTCAATCATAGTAAGAAGAACATGGCATCAGGATTGGAGGAAGATTCATAGCAACCTGTGACATGCAAATGATACAACCTGGCTTGCTGCAATTGAAGAGGATTTGAATCACTTCTGGATGATTAAAAACTATAGCCTTCAGGTGTGTTACAACTCAACATAAAGGAGACAGATATCCTCACACATGGACCAGTAAGCAATATGATTAAAAAAGATTAAGGTTGTCAGATATTTCATTTTACTTGGCTCCACAATCAATGTCAAGAAATCAAAGGACATACTGTATTTGGAACATCTTCTGCAAAATATTTTTTTGAAGTGCTAATGAGCAAAGATGACACTTTGAAGACTAAGGTACACTTAACCCCTTCCATGGTATTTTTCAATTGCTTCATATGCATGTGAAAGCTGGACAATGAATGAGACTGCAGAAGAATTGAAGCATTTGAAGTATGATGTTGGTGAAGACTATTAACTATATCATAAACTTCCAGAAGGATGAACGTACCTGTATTGGAAGAAGTACAGTGTGAATAGTCCTTAGAAGTATGTTCTGAATGCTCCTTGGAAGTAAGGGTGATGAGACTTTGTCTCACATACTTTGGACATGTTATCAGGAGGCACTAGTCCCTGGAAAAGAACTTCATGCTTGGTAAAATAGAGTGTCTTCTAAAAAGTAGAACACCCTCAATGAGATGGATTGACAAAGTGGCTTAAGCATAGCAGTGATTGTGAGGGTGGCCCAGGACTGGGCATTGGTTTGTTCTGGTACACATTGTTAGGTGCCATCAAGTCGGTACCGACTCATCGTGTTATTCACAGCAGAATGAAACACTGCCCGATCATGGGCCAACCTCACTATCGATGCCACACTTGAGCCCATTGATGCTGCCACTTGGCCAATCCATCTCGCTGGGGTTCTTCCTCTTTTTCTCTGACCCTCCACCTTACCAAACATGATATCCTTCTCCAGTGACTGGTCCTTCCTGACAATATGTCCAAAGTATGAGAGACAAATTTTAGCCATCCTGGCCTCCAAGAATCACTCTGGATGCACTTCTTCCAAAACGGATCTGTTGGTTCTTTGGTAGCCCATGACACTTTCAATATTCTCCTCCAACACTATAACTCAAAAGCATCAGTTCTTTCTTGGTCTTCTTTATTCACTGTCCAGCTTTCACATGCATATGAGGTTATTGGAAATACCATGGCTTGGGTCAGGCACTCCTTAGTCCTCAAGCTGACATCTTTGCTCTTCAACACTTTAAAAAGATCTTGTGCAGCAGATTTGCCTAATGCGATATGTTGCTTGATTTCTTGACTGCTGCTTCCGTGAATGTTGATTGTTGATCCAAGAAGAATGAAGTCCTTGACAACTTCAATCTTTTCTTCATTGATAAATGTTGTTTATTGGTCCAGTGGTGAGGATTTTTGTTTTCTTTACGCAATCCATACCGAAGGCCGTGCTCTTTGATCTTCATTAGTAAATGTTTTAAGTCTTCTTCACTTATATAGGGTCAACTATTAGTCAAAATTAACTTGGTGGCATCTAACAGCAATAAGAAAATGCCTTAACAAGTAATAGCATCTAGCTAAATTTTAATAATGTAATTTTAAAATATTATTAATTGATTTCATTTGTTACTTTCTATTTATTGCATATTATATTGATTTTGGTGCCCTGGTATGGTGCTCCAATTCACCAGTTGCTCCTTAGAAACCCAGTTACAAGGTCACTATCAGTTGGAATTGACTCGACAGCACTTAACAACAACTTACTGATTTTTAAATTTGGAATCATTATATCTATTATAAATTAACCAGATTTTTCTAGTTAGGATATGCATTAAAAATGTTCCTTTAAAAAAAAGAGCATGTTACATTTTATAAGCCTGCTGTTATTCAGTGCCAATTGAGTTGGTCCCGACTCAACTACCCTGTATAGGGTTTCTGAGTCTGCAAATACTTATAGAAGCAGTAAGCCTTATCTTTCTCCTGTAGAGTGACTGATGGCCTTGAACGGCTGACCTTGTGGTTCACAGTCCAGTGCTTCTCCTGTGGAGCCACCATGCTCCCCTTATAAGCCTGTATCTACTTAAATAAAAATATGAAAGAATAATACAAGTGATGTTTAGAAACTAACAGTGTTGGGGAGAAAATGGAGTAATCAATACTTGCCAGATGAATTGATAAATGGAAGGTACCCTCATCCCCAGGAGCACTGGTGATTCTGTAGGATAAGCACTGGACTGCTAACCACAAGGTCAGCAATTCAAACCCAACAGCCTCCAAAGATAAGGCTTTCTACCCCTATAAAGATTTACAGCCTTGGAACCCTATACACAGTCTCTATGAGTCAGAACCAACTTGAAGGCACCTAACAACAACATCATCCCTCATTTACAGTTGGGGAAACTGAGGCCTGGATTAATTAAGTCACTTTTTCAGGGCCACACATTTAATTAGTAATGCAGGTGAGACCACAGTCCACTTATCCTGTGGCATCCCACCACACAGTATCCATTTGCCTTGTATTCTTGGGCTGCCTGGGTCATTGTTGTTGTTGTTGTTGTTATGTGCCGTGGAGTCGGTTCCAACTCATAGTAACCCTGTACAGAGTTTCCAAGGCTATAAATCTTTACGGGAGCAGAAAGCCTCATCTTTCTCCCTTGGAACAGCTGGTAGTTTCGAACTGCTGACCCTGAGGTTAGCAGCCTGATTCCTAACTACTACGCTACACAAACTGCCTCAGTAGTCAGAAGGTCATCCAAGCCACTGCACCATTACTGATGTCTTTTGTTCCCCCACTCTTCTAGTTAAAACCTCAGTAAAGCCCAACAAAAAGAAAATGACGGTTTTCTTCAGAGACAGAGAGGAAGCTACCAGGTAAGTGTCACTGTGGGAAAGCAAGACACTAGTCATGCCTGAAGACGGTTGTGACTGTCTCTGCCACTCTTAGTGCTCTGCCTCCAGGCTTCAAAGGGCACCACCCTTGAATCTAAACTTTATTTTTCAGTTTATTCCCTACCCAAACTTGGAAAACTCCTAAATGCCAGGCACTATCTGAGAGTCAGGATAATAAAGATAAGTAAGACTCAAACAACGGAAAACAATGGTAAAGATGGAAGCGAAGAGAGAGCGCTATCATGGCTGACTTTTTGTTGTTGTTTTTAATGCCAATATTGGGCTATGTTTAATCATTCACCTAACCATCTACAGTGTCCTGGTGGGTCAGAGCAAGGGCCCGTTAAACCTGTTACCAGCAAGTTGGTTATAACTCATAGTGACCCAGTAGGACAGAGTTGGACTACTGCATCATGTGACGAAGGCTGGAGTCTTTAGGGAAGCAGACTGCCACATCTTTCTCCGGAAGAGTAGCTGCTGGGGTTGAGCCTCTCACACTTTGGCTAGCAGTTAAATGCTTAACCACTCACTGTACAACCCAAGCCCATAGAGCAAGATGGTACTCAAAGTATGTTCTCCTGATAACCAGCGGCATCATCACCTGGGAACTTGTTAATACTTGGAAATGCTCGTTCTTGAACCATAACACGTGACTACTGAGCCAGACATTCCAGGGGTGGGGTAGGGCCCAACAATCTGGCTTTTTCACAAGCCTTCCAGGTAAGTGTGCAGGACATTGGGGTACACTTACCAATAACAACAGTGTTGAGGTGAAGAATGTGGACTTTAAGTCTAGCTGATTCCAAAATCCACACTCCAGCCCTTTACCATGTAGGTAAAAATATTATGGGACATCATGTGTTTTGCTCTTTATTGTCCCCTACATATGATTGTTTCATTTGTGCTTCCTTTTTAAGGTAAGAAGTGCTATGGCCCAATTTAACCCTCACGTTGCCTGGGATACCAGAAAGTCAGAACAGCTTGCTCCCAGCTATAGCACCTTATCTTGGCTTACTTTTTGTTTTTGTTTTTTCTCTAATCTTCATTTCTTCCTTTTCCCTTTCTTCCCATTTATTTGTGTATTTAACATCAACTGCCCTTTTAGTTTTAAACCAATTTGAATCTGTTTAGATTCTAAAAATTAACAAAATAAGTGCTAACCTAGTCATGAGGTATTCAGTGGTTAAGGACCATCATCGAAGTACACACTCTTGCCATTAGATGACACAGAGCGGCATTTATTAGATTCAAGAAGGTAGGTGTGACATCATGGCACATCCATGTAGAATCAGGCACTAAGCAGAGAACTGTGTCTATATTTCAGAACCGAGTTAACCTGCCACCTCTCCACCTACCCAGCCATGAAGGAGGTGATGTCTTTAAAATCTTCAGGAAGCAGACCAATGAGTCCAGAGGAACAAATTAATGTGATGATACAGCAGGAGATGGAAATAGAGAGCAGAGACGCCAAACCATCTGAATTAGACTTAGAGGTATGGTCTCCTTAGCTTCCTTTCTCTCAGTTGGCCAGATTTTACTCTTAGCATTTCAGTAGTTCAAAACTGGGGTGTGCAGCAGGATCACGTGGGCAACATAAAAATACCAGTATCCAGACCCTGTGGCCAACACGTGAGGTAGCGTGTGTGTGTGTGTGTGTGTGTGTGTGTGTGCAAAAGCTCTCTGCTCTAGTTAAGTCCTGGAACTTGATGCTTTGGGGTCTCCTAGCACAAAAGGTTTCAAAAGGGCAACCCATAGGTAAGGGTTGCCAGAATTAACAAAAGCAAAGATAAAGTTAAACAAAACACCAGCCACTCAGTTAAATTTGAATTTCAGATAAACAAGGAATCATTAGTTTGAGTAAAAGGACAAGTGTATCCCACTGTATCCTGTATTTTTTCCCAGTAACCATACCATAGGATAAATTTAAACTGCAGACGTTTTGAAAACGAGGGAAATCTCAACCTATCTTGAAAAAGAAACATCTTTGGAGTTGAGTAGTTGCTGCCTCCTGTGGGTACAAAACGCATTCTCCAGTGTGCCCCACTCCCCACGATGCCTAATTACTTTCTTGTATCCATCCAACTTTCACTTATTAACATTATCTGCCTGGCTGCAGGGCCAGGTAGGCTGTTGAGTTTCCAACTCTATTGTAAAACAACAAAGCTTTAGAACAAAGAGCTTGTGTAGTTTTAACCAGTTGCTGTCAAGTTGACCCTGACTCCTGGCTACCATATGTGTTAGAACTGTACTCCACAGGGTTCTCAATGGCTTACTGTTCAGCAGGAGATTGGCAGGCCTTTTTTTCTGATGCACCTCTGGGTGGACTCAGACCACCAATCTTTCACCATCCAGGGTCTCCTATGTGTTGATTTGTTGTTGTTGTTGTTAAGTGCTGTCAAGTCGATTCCGACCCATAGTGACCCTGTTATAGGGTTTCCAAGGAGCAGCTGGTGAGCTTGAACCTCCAACCTTGCAGTTCAAACAGCTTTGCAGTCTGACGCATTAACCCACAGTGCCACACCAGGACTCCAACTAGATGACTGAAACATCCTAAAAATTACTTAATGTGCATCGAAGATATCTCAAAAAAAGAGTAAAAAGAGAACCCACAGACTGGGAAAAAAAAAAAATTGGCAATTATATACCAGACAAAGGATTATTCTCTAAAACTTATAGAAAGCTTCAGCACTTCATCAAGAAGAAAACAACAAATAATCCAATTAAAAAATGGGCAGAAGACAAAAATAGCAACTTCACCAAAGAAGACATTCAGATGACCAACAAGCATGAAGAAATGCTTGTAATTGTTATCTATTGTTGTTGTTAGGTGTCATCCAGTCAGTTCCAACTCATAGTAACTCTGTGTACAACAGAATGAAACAATATCAAGTCATGTGCCGTTCTCACAATTGTTGTGTCTGAAGCCATGGTGGCTGTCACTGTGTTAGTCAGGCACTTACCAACTCAAAGGCAAGTCATACATCAGTGAAGCTTCCTGACCCTACCAGGTCACACTGACTACTTGTGTTAAGTTAGTCTATTTATGTTGCTTTCTAAACTTTCAACCCCATGGTTGACTTAGAAGAACTGTTATAAGTCTCATTAGGACTTTGGCAATTCCCGCTACAAGCCACGCAATCAAGGCACTTTGGAAAGGAAGTGAATTATTTGAATCTATGGAAGGAACTCGTCATCCCTATTAATGAACCATCATCAGATATGTCAACTCCATCCCCAAGCTCAGGAGTCCTAATTGTCCTACCCCCGTGGTATTTTAGAGTTCTTTCTTATATGTATCCCAATGAATCCTCCAGAAACATGGAGGAAAGTCGCTCATGATCTTCCTGCTATGAGTGTTAAGTGGGAGGTCCAGAAAGCATGATGGCAGCAAGTGGAGGGTGGGGAGGAGAGCTGTGTGAATAGGGCCCCTTGGTGGCAGATGGGTTGGGCAGTTGGCCATAATTATTAAGCTCTAATTGTTCTCTTGTTGCTTCTTTGTCAATGGAAGAGGTACTACTACTACCTGACCCATGGAATCCGGAAAGACATGATTGCCCCTGAGGAGGCAGAGGTGATGATGCGGATTTCAACGCTGATTTCGAACAAGCAGATAGCAAGCGCCTTGGAACCTCTGCTTGAGAAGCTCATTAAGGAGAAGGAAAATGACTATTACACTAGCATCATGAAAAGCATTGGTAAGGCCGGGCAAACAAACACTGGGGAAGGGGCTCCCAGCAAGAGGGAGACGCCATCTTTCCTCTCACTTTGGTCCTCTATCCGGTTTCCTCTGAAATGTCAACAACATCGTTTAATTTTTAATTCCATGCCACTACACACCTTGGGAACCCTATAGGGTCGCTATGGGTCAGAACCGACTCAATGGCACTTAGCAACAACAACACACAACCCCAGCCGCATCACTAATGTCCACACCAATGCTTCCCATACTTCAGTGTGCACACAGATCATCTGGGGATGTTGTTAGAGTGAAAACCGATTCAGTAGATCCGGGGAGGGACCCAGGATTCTAACAACTTCCAGGAGATGCTAATGCTGCTGACTACTAATGTCAAAGACCCTGGTGATTAAGTGCTTAGCTACTAACTGAAGGGTCTGAGGTTCAAACTCACCAGATGCTCCGCAAGAGGAAGATGTGGCAATCTGCTTCTGTTAATATTGGAAACCCTATGGGACGGTTTCACCCACTGAGTTAGAATGGAGTCAGTGACAGTGGATTTGGTTTGGGTTTATAACCCTCAGTGGTCAGTCATTCCATTCTTTGAATTCTTGACATTTCTTCCCTCTACTTTCAACTCCTGCTTTGAAACTTCCGTGACATCATTTCTCTCCTGTCATTTCACAGTGGCATTGTCTTCCCACTTCTCATGAGTTTGGGCTCTTCTACTAGATTATGTGTCAGACAGACTGCAAAGTCGTTTGAACTACAAGGTTGGTGGTTCGAGCTCACCAGCTGCTCCTTAGAAACCCTATACAGGATCTCTAAGGGTCGGAATTGACTCGACAGCACTTAACAACAACAACTAGATTATGGGAGTCCTGGTGTGGCGCTGTGGGTTAATGGGCTTGCACCGTAAAGTCGTTTGAACTGCAAGGTCAGCAGTTCAAACTCACCAGTCATTCCTTGGAAACCGCCCTATACACGGTGACTATGGGTTGGAACCAACTCAGTAGCACTTAACAACTAGATTTTTAGTTCTTTGCTGGTGAAGACTATATTATTATTAGCCTAGGGTCTTGTATACAAAATAGGTTATTTGAAAATATTTGATGACTAGAAATTATGAAATGCTTGTTTTTTTTCTTAAATGTTTTATTGAGAATTATGTGATAGTTTACATGGGAGAACATTAATTTTATCATATATCGTCTCATTGCCATGGTTACGATCCCCTCCATGCATCATCAGCCAACCAAAGGGTACACCCTGCAATCCTGCCCCCCATACTCCCCAGGTCTTCAGCACACAGTCGCTCTCCCTTTCTGAATCTAAAGTTCTCCAGCTGTTCCATCTCTCCACGTCATCGTCTCTGCCTCCATTTCAGGCATCACTGCTTCTCTGGGTAGGGTCCTGCTCTCCGCTCTTCTCCCTTGATGGTCCTAGGGACCTCCGCTCCTAGACTGAAAAGTTAATCACTCCTCTCCTTGCTATAAAACTTCTACCTTTACATTTCCAACCCTCACAATCAGTCCTGATAACAATTATTCACTGTTATATCACAAGAGACCCGTCTGCATTTCATGCATCAGCCCCGCCTAGACAGATTGGATACTACTCACTGGAGATTCTACCTTCCTCCAGGCCCTCTGGATCTAGGTTCCCTCTTGAAAGCTTGTAAGCCAGTCACTTCTTGCCTTTGTAATGACTGTGTTTTTAAACAGTAAGACGAGAAGCAGCTCAAAGGGAAGAATGATTACACCAGTTCTCTTTATACTCAATATGCACTTTCCTGTTGTCATTTTGGAGTCCTGTTGTGGCACTGTAGGATAAGCACTTGGCTGCTAACCACAAGATTGGTGGTTCAAACTCACCAACCACTCCTCAGAAACCCTATACAGGGTCATTATGAGTCAGAGTGGACTCAAATGGATTTAACAACAACATTCTATATTTATCAAGTTGCCTGTTGTTGTTGTTAGGTGCTGTTGTGTCAATTCCAACTCATAGCTACCCTATGCACAACAGAACAAAACACTGCCCAGTCCCACACCGTCCTCACAATTGTTGCCACACTTTAGCCCATTATTCTTGCCCATGTTCCAGTTCATCTCATTGGTGGTCTTCCTCTTTTTCTCTGACCCTCCACTTTACCAAGCATGAAGTGCTTCTCCAGGGACTGGTCCCTCCTGACAACATGTCCAAAATATGAGCGATGAAATCTCACCATCTTGGCTTCTAAGGAGTGTTCTGACTGTACTTCTTCTAACACAGATTTGTTAGTTTTTCTGGCAGTTCATGGTACTTTCAATATTTTTCTCCAATACCATAACTCTAATACATCAATTCTTTTACTGTCTTCCTTATTCATTGTTCACATTCAAGAGACATATAAGGTAGTTGAAAATACCATGGCTTTGGTCAGGTGCACCTTAGTCCTCAAACTGATATCTTTGCTCTTGAAGGTTAGTGGTTCAAGCTTTGTGCAGCAGATTTGCCTAATGCAATATGCCATTTAATTTCTTGACTGCTGCTTTCATGAATGTTGATAGTGGATCTAAGAAAAAAGAAGTCTTTGACAACTTCAATCTTTTCTCCATTTATCATGATGTTATTTATTGGTACAGTTATGAGGATTTAAAATTTACATTGAGGTGCAATACATACTGAAGGCTATAGTCTT